CACCAGCACCCCCAGATCCCTTTCTGCAGGGCTGCTCTCTCCAGCAGCTCCTCTCCCAGTTCATACTTGTGCCTGCCACTACTCCATCTTAGGTGCAACTTCGACATTTTCTCTTGTTAAATGTCATCCCATTAATCAATGCCCAATGCTTCAGTCTATCTAGATCCCTCTGCAAGGCCTCTTGTCCCTCACCGGTTTGGTATAGTCAGCAACTTGCCCATGGTGCATTCAGCTCCTGCATCCAGATCATTGATAAATATATTGAACAGGACTGGCCCTAGGATTGAGCCCTGAGGAACGCCACTGGTCACCTGTCGCCAGCCAGATGTAGCCCCATTCATCACAACCCTTTGAGCCCTGCCTTTAGCTGGTTCTTCACCCAGTGCACCATGAACTCACTCACCCCACAGTTGGACAACTTGTCCAGGAGGATGCTGTGAGGGACGGTATCAAAAGCCTTACTAAAATCCAGAAAAACACACCCACCACCTTCCCTTCGTCCACCGGGCAGGTAACCTTCGCATAGAAGGAGGTCAAATTAGTTAAACAGGACTCTCCTCCTGTGTACCCATGTTGACTGTGCCTGATGATTGCATTGTTCTTATTGTTCTTTAAATGCCTTTTGGTAGCACCCAGTGTGATCTTCTCCATATTTTTTCCAGGTACAGAGGTTAGACTAATGGGTCTGTAGTTTCCTGGGTCTTCCCCCATGCGCTTCTTGTAAACTGGAATAACACTGCCTGGAGTCCAGGCAGTGCGGACCTCCCCAGACTCCCAAGATCATGTTTCATATCTGTACATTTATGTCTGTACATGGGTTACTCAGCCATTTTCATGAACATTGAAACTCTTAGATATTTTATGGGTATGTGTTTCTTTTGTGACTTGTAATTCTTAAGAAAAATGTAACAATCTAAATTTATGGGAGCCTTCTACCAGGTTTGGTGGCCCTCTACGACAGGATTACAGCATTGGTGAATAAAGAACAACTGACATTATCTACTTGGACTTGTGCAAAGCATATGACACTGTCCCACACGACATCCTTGACTAAATTGGAGAGACATGGACTTGATGGTTGGACAACTCAGTGCATAAGGAATCAGCTGGATGGTTGCACTCAAAGAGTTGCAGTCAACACCTCGATGGCCAATGTGGAGAGCAGTGATGAGTGACGTTCCTCAGGGGTCGGTGTTGGGAGAGGGACTGTTTAACATCTGCTTTGCTCATTAAGGGTACCAATTAAACTCGAACATAGAGTGAAAATCGTGTATTTTACAGATGATAACCAAATAATGTAACAGAGTAAAACATGCAGTAAGAAAAGGCAGAATTATGCACCTAAAGCAACAGATAGGAAAATAAAGGGTAATGCATCAAATCATTACTAAACAAGAAAGAGAACAGTGATTAATAAAGATACATCACCACTTGCATCCGTTATCATCATCCAGACCCGCAGTCGCTGGGCAGCCCCGGCTGCAGGGAGGGTTTGCAGAGCCTGTCCCGGCCAGTGGGAAATCCTACACGGTGCGTCCATCCGTAGGTGAGGCACCCAAAGTCCCTGTGAGAGGGTCCAGCCTTATATACCAGAGATCAACAGGCCAGAATAGCTGTCACCTTTGTTTTGAGCGGAAAATTTCTGGTTTCATTCTCCTGTTGGATTCCACCCAAAGCCTGGCCAGGGCTCAGGGAGGGGGAGACCAGGGGAGTTTCTAACAAGTCCAAATACGTGGGTTCTCAGCCTTGAACAAGGCTAAACAAGGCAACTTGGATACATTCTCTCCTCACTACTGATGATATTTTATCTAAGCTTCATCTTTCACTAGCGACCTTACACACTTTGTTAATGATTACAGACTAAGTTAGCAGCTTCGGCTTGGGGCCTGTTGTTCAGGCTTTAGTACTTCAATGCTTTAGCACTTTTTACATCAGCATAAGTGGGTTATTATAACTTAGTACAACACCTACAAGCACAATGGTTATCAGTTATAAAATATATAGGATTCATGTGTAGGTCAACTCTGGCTTGGGCCGGTTGTCCAAGCCTTAGCACTTCATTCGGTCCTTTGACCTATAGGTGAATCATGGCTGTCAAACCATTTCTATGGTTAGTGACATTAGTCTTCGTTCATCAGTTGATGATGTCTTGTCAGGTATGTCCCGATCGGGGAGGGTTCTTAAAAGTTCCTAGGAGTGAACTTAAGACACAAACGAGGTTAGATGCCATACAACCTTGTAAGCTCTATTTCCCATAACATGCAATAATAGCAATATGACAGAGAGAATAAGAAAAAGAATATCTAATCAAGCAAATGGAAGAGATGCAGCAAGATCAGTTACCACCACCATGAATCCAGCGACATCCTGTTGTCTTGGTCTCGGTGCAGGTGAACATCTTTTTTGGCAACATGGACAGTGGGATCGAGCGCACCCTCAGCAGTTGGCTGATGGCACCAAGCTGTGTGGTGCAGTCGACACGCTGGAGGGAAGGGATGGCATCCAGAGGGACCTGGACAGGCTGGAAAGGTGGGGTCATGCAAACCTCATGAAGTTCAACAAGGCCAAGTGCAAGGTCCTGCACATGGGCTGGGGCAATCCAAAGCACAAATACAGGCTGGGTGATGAGTGGATTGAGAGCAGCCCTGCAGAGAAGGATGTGAAGAGTAGCAGTGGATGGAAAACTGACTATCAGACAGCAATATGCACTCACAGTCCAGAAAGCAAACTGTATCCTGGGCTGCATCGAGTGTGGCCAGCAGGTCGAGGGAAGTGATTCTCCCCCTCTACTCTGCTCTGGTGAGACCCCACCTGCAGTGCTGTGTCCAGCTCTGGGACCCCCAACATAAGAAGGACATGGACCTGCTTGAGCAGGTCCAGAGGAGGCCACAAAGCTAATTGGGGGGCTGGAGCACCTCCCCTGTGAGGACAGGCTGAGAGAGCTGGGGTTGTTCAGCCTGAAGTAGAGAAGTCTCCGAGCAGACCTTACAGCAGCCTTCTAGTACTTAAAGGGGGCTACAGGAAAGGTGGGGAGGGACTCTTTACCAGGGAGTGTAGTGATAGGATGAGGGGTAATGGTTTTAAACTGAAAGAGGCTAGATTTAGATCAGATATAAGGAAGAAATTCTTTCCTGTGAGGGTGGTGAGGCCCTGGCACAGGTTGCCCAGAGAAGCTGTGGCTGCCCCCTCCCTGGCAGTGTCCAAGGCCAGGCTGGACGGGGCTTTGAGCAACCTGGGCTAGTGGAAGGTGTCCCTGCCCATGGCAGGGGTTGGAACTAAATGATCTTTAAGATCCCTTCCGACCCAAACCATTCTATGGTTCTATGTTTCTATATAAGTTCTGAGGTGGTGTATTTGTTGCTACCATTATAAGATGTTTTGCATGCTGTGTAGCTAAGTTAAAAGTATATGGGCTGTTATGTAAGTATAGCCTGTTTCTGGTAAAATTGCATATTGGACTAGAGGGGACACAGTTATATTTCTATTCTTGTATGTCAAATTCGGGCACATATGCCAAAATAAGCCCTGAACTAGTCATCAGCTATATACAAGCTGCTTAATATCACCACCTTTAGACCTGCTGCAAAATTAATTGCCAGTTCCAGCCCTTCTGTGTCTTCCCTGCCTTATTGACTTAAAGAGGAAAGTGCCTGATTAATTGTGACAGGAAAGAAACAAAAAGTAAGGATTTTTAATTTGCTTTTCCAAGAAGACAGATCTTACGTAATTATCTTTTCTGGTGTCCTTGTACCCCTAATAGCTTCTGAAGTTGTTGACAGGTTATACAGGCAAAGAAATAGAGAAATAGAGGTCTTGTACATAATAATTCTGCTCCTTTAATATTTGTGAAAATAGACAGCTAGGTAGAGAAGAGAGGCCCAGGCTACAGCCTTGACTGAAAGCTGCAGTGCATCTGTATTAGGAATGAAGAGATGTTATGGCATTACTGCCGAATGGGAAGGCTTCATCTGGGCCTTGCACTCTATCTAATTCAGAATAACACAACCACAAGGCCACAAGAGATTAGGGTATTTTATTTGCTTTTCTGAGTTACTCAGGTGTTGCACTTCAAGTAGTTAAAGAGAGAACAGAAATTCCAGAATGCACTACACCTCCAACAAAGCAGCACAACACTTAGCACATCATCAGAATACTTTAAAAGGCCACATTAAGCATATGTTTATGTTAACTATAGTTTTGGCAGTTAACTGCTACTTTATAAATTCTGCATTTTCTTTTACATCTCATTTAGAATTCGTTTAGATGACCCTGTTCTGTTATTTATAGCTATGTATGTGCCTGTGTGTATCTTAAGACAGGCACTCTGATTTTGTATTTGTGTCCTGGTTTCATCTAGGATAGAGTTTATTTTCTTCCCAGTAGCTGGTACAGTGCTGTATTTTGTATCTAGTGGGAGAATCATGTTTGTAACCAGTGGTGTTTTGGTTGTTGCTAAATAGCACTTGTCCTAAATTAAGGATTGTTCAGCTTCCTGAAAACAAGCAGGTGCTCAAGAAGCTGGGAAGGAGCGTGGCCAGGACGGCTGACCCGAACTATCCAAAGGGATAAATATTCCATAACACAGAACGTCATGGTCAGTATATGAACTGGGCGGAGTTGCCTGGGGGGTGGATTGCTGCTTGGGTGTCAGTCAGCGGGTGGTGAGCAATTGCACTGCGCATCGCTTGTTTTATCTTGGTTTTTATTTTCTCTCTGTTATATTCATTTTCATTACGATTAT